GAAGGCAACTGCAAGTTTTTTGTTCTTCCTCCCCAGCCATGGTGGTCTGAATGAGAATGGCCCCCATAAGTAACTATGAAATACAATGAAACAAAATATAATAAGATAAACCAAACGCTAATGCATCAGAATGTTTCTGTTGTGTCCAGAGGACTCCATTTCCTCCTATTCATCTACTGCCTCTGGTTCCTATAGTCTTTCCACCCCACACCAATAATAAGTTCATGTTTGGATGCTTGGTTCCCAGTTGGTTTAACTGTTTGGGAAGGGATAGGAGATACGGCCTTGTGGGAGGAGGTGTGTCACTGGGGAGGCTTGAGGTTTCCAAAACCTTGTGCCATTCCCAGTTAGCACTCTTTCTGCTTCATGCCTGTGGATCAAGATGTAAACTCTCAAGCCAGGGGTGATGGCGCACGCCTTTAATCCCAGCACTCAGGAGGCAGAGGCAAGCGGATCTCTGTGAGTTTGAGGCCAGCCTGGTCTACAAGACCAAGTTTCAGGATAGCCTATAAAGCCATAGAGAAACCCTTTCTGGAAAAACAAACAAACAAAAAAAGTAAACTCTCAGCTACTGCTCCACGTTACAGCTTGCTTGCCTCCTGCTGACATGCTCCCTGCTCTGGTGATCATGGACTCATGGACTCTAAGCATCCAGAAGCATGAAGCCCAGATTAAATGCCTTTATTTATGAGTTGCCTTGGTTATGATATCTCTTCACAGCAATAGAAAAGTAACTAGTATACTAGTTGTCTCTTTCAAGTAAGTTTTCATATAGTTGTGAAATAGTATCTTATGTATTCTAGGCATCAAACTTACTATGGTAGCAGAGAATGACCTTGAACTTCTGATTCCCCTGCCTCTCCCTAAATACTGGGATTACAAGCATGCACTGCTGTATCAGTTTATATGGTGGAGGGGACCAGTCAAGCTCTTAACAAGCTGAGCTAAAGGACATCCCTGGGACGAAAGGACTGGACATGTAGCTCTGTAGTGCAGCACTTGTTGAGAGAAAGAGATAGAGAGGGGCAGAGAGACAGACAGAGCTCTGTAATCAATATCATAAACAAAAATTTAAATAGGCTTAATGTGAACACCTGCAACTTAGAACAAATCACTTCCAGAGTAGTATTCCTAACACAGTAGTCGGGCCAACCTAATCACTTGTGCTGTGTTGGGAAGAAGTCTGTGCAAAGGGAGATGGTTTCCTTTTGTAGGGACATGGAGAAAACTAAGTAGTAACTGAGTTTTTACACAGGGCCTAGATCTGCTGTGGTTTGAGGGACAGATAGATTCCTCTGAGTGTGGAGGCACGAGCAATGCCAGGGCTTCTCAACATGTTGGGTTGCAAATCCTTTGGGGGTCACAGATGTTGCTTAAGACCATCAGAAATATCAGAAAATTACATTATGATTCCTAACAGTAGTAAACTTACAGTTATGAACTGGCAATGAAGATCATTTTATGGTTGGGGGTCACCTCAACATGAGGAATTGTATTAAAAGATCATAGCATTAGGAAAGTTGAGAACCACTGAGCCATGCAGACAGTTCAAGTATTTGATTTTCTTAAATTTCAAGAAAAGTTGCTTAATTTCAGCCTGGTGGTGGTGGCACACATCTTTAATCCCAGCACTTGGGAGGTAGAGGCAGGTTGGATCTTGGTGAGTTCAAGGCCAGCTTGGTCCACAGAGTGAGTTCCAGGACAGCCAGGGATGCACAAAGAAACCCTGTATCCCTGTCTCAATAAACAACAACAAAAAAGCCAAACAGACAAACATAAAGCTTAATTTCTGGTTGCTGTTTGATTTCTCAAACACACAATTTATTAACTCCTTAGTTAAGTGTAGAGATGGCACACTGTGTGTGTGAGAGACCTCATCCTCGTAGAGGTGGCCTGCTGTGTGTTTGGCATGGACTTTTGGGAGATGGCAGTGAGGTCATTATTTCAAGGAGCATCTCGTGTTTTCAGGGTGGGGAATGGATCTACTCCAGGGAGGTATTGCTGAAAACAGTCTCTTGAGAGAAGATAAGCTAGGAGTCAGAACCAGAAAGCACCAGTTTCCAAGATGAACATTTCCTGCTCTACACACATATAAGGCTCTTTCCTTTTGTTGTACACATTTAGTCCCAAATAAACACACAGAGGTTTATATTAATTATAAACTGTTTGGCCAATGGCTAAGGCCTCTAATTGGCTCTCTCTTAATTATTAACTTATTTCTATTAATCTGTGTATCTCCACGCTGTCTTGGCTTACTGGTGATGCCAGCTCTTTTGCTCCCTTGTGACTCACTCTCTGCATTCCACTTCTCAGAATTCTCCTAGTCTGGTAGCCCTGCCAATACTTCCTGCCTGGCTACATCCTGTCCATTGGTCAAAACAGCCTTATTCAGTAAACCAATAAGAGAAACATATATTCACAGCATACAAAAGGACATCTACCATAATTTTGTTATTTATTTATTTATTTATTCGTTCATTTATTTATTTATTTGAGACAGGGCTCTCTACTTAGCCCTGCCAATCCTGCAACTCATTCTGCAGACCAGGCGGGCCTTGAACTCAGAAATCTACCTGCCTCTTCCAATGCTGGGACTAAAGGTGTACACAACCATGCCCAGCCCATTTCTCATAACTTAGGTTCACACTGAAGGCAATTGATAACACCACACAGAGATAGGGATATATTTGTTTTATTTATAGTAAAGTTGCAAAATCATTCACCTGTGAAGGACATGCAATTCCTCCTCTCCTTCCTGCTCCCAGATGCAAGGCAGGAGCTGGTGACTACTGTGTTGGCACCTGATGGATTATCTATGGACCTGTCAGGCCCTGGCCATGTGCATTCTTGGGAGGTAGTCAGGCAGATTTGGTAGAGCTTTAAAAAACTAAGTGACACAGAAAGGACACGTAACCAAGAGAGGGGACCTTTCAAAAAATTACTACAGATGGATGTCAAAGCAATTATTTTCTAAAACTAGAAACAAAGAAGGTAAGTATGCTCTCTGTCTTTTCCTCCTGCCCCTTTCCCTTTCTTTCTTTCTTTCTTTCTTTCTTTCTTTCTTTCTTTCTTCCTTCCTTCTCTTCTTTCTTTCTTTCTTTCTTCCTTTCTTTCTCTCTTTCTTTCTTTGGTTTTCCAAGACAGGGTTTCTCTATGTAGCTCTGGCTGTCCTGGAACTCACAGAGATCTGCCTGCCTTTCCCTCCTGAGTACTGGGACTAACGACATGTGCCACCACCACTCAGCTGAGCATGCTCTTTTTCATGTTCACTTGGGCCCAAGGAACCCAACTGGCCTTTACATCCCATTGAACCAATGTCTTAAGACACAGCAATCTTAGCCAGACAGCATTCCCTACCGCATGCCAGATTAGGCAGTTGTACTTTTAAGATCTAATTCTTAGACGGCCACTGGTGGTGCACACCTTTAATCCCAGCACTCAGGAGGCAGAGTCAGGTGGATCTCTGTGAGTTTGAGGCCAATCTGGTCTACAGAGCTAATTTTAGGACAGAAAGAACCTGTCTCAAACAACAACAACAACAACAAAAAACCACCACTACCAATAAAAATCTGATGTATTAACAGAGAAGACAGAGGCCCAATGAGGATAAGATAGGAGAATAAAAGGAGAAATAAGGGGCCACGCTTCAGAAAGGATCTTACCGGTGTGTGGGGGCATGGGGCTAGGGTATGTGTGGACATCCTTTCTAGCAAGTGCTTTAGGAGGGCACTTAGAGTGGGGAGAAAAGCAAGTGCTATTATGACTGCTTTATGGCTTCTGCTATCAGTAAGGCCCTAACTCTTTCCAAGTTTAAATTTATTTAAATTAATTACTTCCTGGCCCCCATTTTAAAGAAGCCAAGCGGTCTGTGTGTCCATGCCTATGGAGAACAATCTGGGACCGGCAAGAAAGTTGGGAATAATCCCTAGGCTGAGGGCTGGAGAGATGGCTCAGTGGTTAAGAGCACTTGCTGTTCCCAGCACCCACATGGAGGCTCCCAAACATCCTAGTTCCAGGGTATTCAAAGACATCTTCTGACCTCCTTGGGCACCAGGTATGAGGAGCACAAACATACATGCAGGTAAAACACTCATACACATCAAAAAACATTTCTTTAAAGACGTAGCCTGAAAGAGTTTTTTCCATCCAGGCTGGTCCCTGCTTTTCAGTCAGCACCTTCAGAGAGACCAAGAGACCACCTGGCTGACCTTCACCAACATACTTTTCTTTTCTTTTTTTTTTTTTTTTTTTTTTTGGTTTTACGAGACAGGGTTTCTCTGTATTGTTTTGGAGGCTGTCGGTCCATCCCAGCCTCGAACTCACAGAGACCCGCCTGCCTCTGCCTCCCGAGTGCTGGGATTAAAGGCGTGCACCACCACCGCCCGGCCAACATACTTTTCTTAAGGAATCCTGGCAAAGAGAAAGGGTTATTTCTAGAGGGGTGACTTAGAAGGGAACAGAGAACTTGGTTGTACATCTGAGTGTGAGCTACAAGGAGTCATCTGAGAGATATGACAGTCCAGAAGGTAAATGACTTATCTTCTCTGATCAGAAATTGGAGAGGAACACCAGCCATGATGCCCAAATGTAATGAACGGAACATTAAAAACAAAAACAGCTATGGGAAGAAGTAGTGGGCGGTAGAGAATGTCTGTAGGAAAAGCAGTTACTATAATGGGGACTAACTTTGTCGAAAGGCATTTTAAGAAAAGGAGGATGGAAGGTGAGGAGGAGGAGGGGACAGGGAGGGGGGAGGTGTCCTCTTGCTTATCCTTCCCAGGGCCCCAGCTTTCCTGGACCTGGATCACAAGCTCTACCCAGCTCCAGCTGTGGAGTGTACAGAAAAACTAGTTCTTCAAGGCATGAGGCTGGTCCCCAGGGCTGTGGCCCTGAAGGAAGCATGTCACAGGAAGGGACAAGCTTGGGCGCTGTGTTTGCTCCTCAGCCCCCACAGGTCCAGGGGTGAGACCCTAAAGTGGAGACACCTGAAACACAGAACATTACAAGTGGGCACGGGTTTTTATTCTCAGTGCATGGCATTGGTTTCTGCTCATCAGCAAAAAGCTTTATTGGTACCAAAAAAAAAAAATTACCCCTTTTAAAACTCGTCTTCCCATGTCAGTGAGACAATGCATTTGAATTACAGATTTGTCAGTTTATAGCACCCCCCAAGAACCATATAAATATAGGCAAAGAACTATACATAGAGCTTAAATAATGTCAATGCAAATACAGACTGGGTGCACTGTTAAGATGAACTGCAAACTATGACAACACACGCTAAGATATGCATTGCTTTGCTATCATCATGTCTGCCATGCAGACTACAGCAGTCCATTTTCTGTTTTTTCCTTTTGTACAAAAATACCAGTGCTCATCATACTAGTTACTGAGAAGAAACTCAAAATTCCTATCTGCATGCCGATTAGAAAAGATGGCATAGATCCATTTGTTGACACATATATGGCATATTTACATATGGCATATATACACATGGGGAGAAAACATGAACCAAAGGCCGATTCAGTTGCAGGGAGCTCACCTCCCTTTGCCTCTCCCAAACAGAAGAAGAAAGGGGATAGCAGACCTAACTGCAGAGCTGAGAAGGCAAACGTTCTGGCTCTGAGCTGAATGGAGGGGAGGGAGGGTGTCTGGTCTACTGAGGAGGAGGCTGGGATGGCTTCAGAGCAGCTGGCATTGTAACTGCCCACCCCCACTGGTGCCATGGGTGGACCCCAGACGTAGAAGGTGGCTGAATGTGCGGACTGCAATGGTACCACAGTAGAGGTAAGGCGAGGGATGGGGAGAAAGGGAAGGATACAGGAGAGGATCCAGGCATATTCAAGCTTGCATACCCCTCTGGATTTTCAGTAGTGAGGTAATCACTCTGATTGATCTGTGTAACTCTCCCCTAAAGCTTGAAGGAAAACAGAATTCCAAACCTGAGGAATCCACGTGTGCCCAGAGGGAGTCTAGCTGGTCTCTCTTACATCTTTTGGGATGGGAGAAGCACTTTAAAGGACAGTGAAGGGCTGTTGAGAAGGACCTGGTCCTCAGACTGCCAGACAGAGCTAGAAGCAACCATTGCTGTATTTGTCTTTTCCAATTTGGAGCTCAGTCTGCTGTATTATACAAAATAGGAAGGTGTCTCAACTCAGATTCATGCACAAAAACTCACTAATGGGACCACTCTAGGGGAAAGAGGGAGTGCAGTAAGCATAAAGAAATGTAAGTCCCACGTCAGAGTTCCCTTGCTGACCAGAAGAGACTCACTGACAACACTGCCAGCTAACTCCTTCAGAACAGAAGTCCAACTGGCCCTCACCCTGGTTACCAACAAGCCTGGCACTCCTCCATGGCAGCACACATCCATGTCCTGACAGTCGAGAAGCCTCTTCCAGTGGTTCCCTCACCACTGTGGGTTCTTACCCATTTTCCTAGGTTTATCAAAAGACAGCTCTAGGATACGTTCTCTTTCTCCCCACCAGACCTCTTTCAAATCCAAAGCACCATTTAGGGGAAACTGTCATCAACTTTTGTCATAGTTACTCACCTTTTGGTGATGTTCCCAGCTCCTGAGAGGTGGGTGGGCAGAGGAGGTGTCGGGCAGTGTTCCAGGTGAAAAGGCACGGGCTTTCCTGGGTAGCAGTGGAGATGCTCGGCGCTGAAGGCTGGAGGAGGGTGTGTGGAAGCGAGGAGAGAGGAGGCAGCAGCTTTCCGGGGAGGGCCCTTTGCTCCTTGACAGAACACTGTCAGGAAGCCTCCTCTTTTGGATGTGTATTTTCAACACTGGAATATTTGCAAAAGTTGGGGGCCTCCTTGGAGGTGGAAAATGTGGGAGACAACAAAACTTAGAATGAGTAAAGTGAAGAGAATGTCAAAGCTGGTACTCGGGCGCCCAGCTGTGGGGAGGTTCCTCAGATCCGATGGATTGGTTCTTTAGCCCTTCCCAAGGCTCCTTAATACTCATTTCCCCAATAATCAGCTCCTTGGCAAATACCCTTGAAAATAGTCTGCTTCAGTGATTTCTGCTCCTAGGCCTGCTCCAAGTTGGTCCTGAAACTCCTCACCCAGCTAGGAGACAGGGTCATGTCCCATTCATTCTTTTGCTACCACCTTAGGCAAGGAGGAAGCTCAGGCCTATGGTAAAAACTATACATTATACATATGCAAGCGTCATGGTCATGGCTGATTTCCCTGGCACTTAAAAACCCAGACACACCCAAGAAGACAGATGGACATTCAGAAGTTGGAACTGACCTGGTGAGAATAGGGAAATATTTCACCAGTTCATTTGCTCCAAAAAAAAAAAAACCAAAAACATTTTAGCAAAGAACTCTGCCTGCCTCTAGAACAAAATGAAAGGTTCTATTGGGGCCAAAGTCGGCTCGATTTTTACATGTCCTTTCCATTCTCTTAATTACCACAACTTCAAAAGAAAAGTAAGAGGAAGGATGATAAGGGTCATATAAGAACCAAAGAACCTTGGGGAGGTCAGACTGAAGGCTAGCAGCCTTAGTATATACATTTTCAAAGTAGGAAAAAATGTTCTAAGAATAATCAGTCTACTGAAATACAAACACGGGGCATTTGTCTGTCCCTGAGCCCACAACTTACCTCGTAAATGGCAGAAACTCATAAAATCTTCAGGTCAGGAAGTGGTGATACATGTGGGAACACTGTGGAGACTGGGTTGGGTGATGCCAGGACGAATGTCATCATTTCTTTAAAAATGACAACTGGTATACCTAAGGAGCAGATCTACCATTACCTGCCCAGGGTTTGACCGAATCCTTGTAGTCTGTGTTCTTGTTTCTTCATGACCAGGTGGGGGTTCTTACACACTTAGGAGCAGCTGACATAACAGTGACAAGTCCCATCATCACCCTATGGGCAGGATAAATGATAAAAGAAATAGGGAGAGTTCGATTGGTAGCAGGGGTGGAGCGAGGACCCCAGAGAACCCTGAAAGCCTCACTGCCATGGCCGGCCTAGTCACCACCGGGAGGAGCCGCAGCCTTTGGGCCAGCCCCAGTCATCACCACGGCAACCATGAGCAGGGAGGCCTAGACCCAGCAGCCGCCCTCAGGGCCGCCTACACCTAGCCCAGCTCCATGGGCAGTGGTGCGGGTAGTGGCAGCACGGGCGGCCTCATATGGGCGGCACCCGCTGGCGGGGACAAGGTCATTGCAAGGAAGGTTTTGGGAGCAGTAAAATGGTTCAATATAAGGAACGGATACGGTTTCATCAACAGGAATGACACCAAGGAAGATGTATTTGTACACCAGACTGCCATAAAGAATAACAACCCCAGGACGTACCTTCGCAGTGTAGGAGATGGAGAGACTGCGGAGTCTGATGTTGTTGAAGGAGAAAAGGGTACGGAGGCAGCAAATGTTACAGGTCCTGGTGGAGTTCCAGTTCAAGGCAGTAAATACGCAGCAGACCGTAACCATTATAGACGCTATCCACGTCGTAGGGGTCCTCCACGCAATTACCAGCAAAATTACCAGAATAGTAAGAGTGGGAAAAGAAGGAGGAATCGGAGAGTGCTTGCTCCTGAAGGCCAAGCCCAACAACGCCGGCCCTAGCGCAGGCGAAGGTTCCCACCTTACTACTTGCGGAGACCCTATGGGCGTCAGCCATACTGTTCCACCCCTCCTGTGCAAGGAGAACCGATGGAGGGTGCTGACAGCCAGGGTGCAGGAGAGCAAGGTAGACCAGTGAGACAGTATGTATCGGGGTTACAGACCACGATTCCGCAGGGGCCCACCTCGCCAAAGAGAGCCTAGAGAAGAAGGCAATGAAGAGAACAAGGAAATAAAGGAGATGAGACCAGGGTCAGCAGCCACCTCAACGTCGGTATCGCCGCAACTTCAATTACCGATGCAGACGCCCAGAGCACACTAACCACAAGATGACAGAGACAAAAGCAGCCGATCCACCCTCTGAGAATTCGTCGGCTCCCGAGGCTGAGCAGGGCGGGGCTGAATAAATGCCTGCCTACCATCTCTACCATCATCCGGTTTGGTCATCCAACATGAAGGAATATGAAATTCCAGATACACTAGAACTATCTGCATTATCTATGCAGCATGTGGTTTTTATTATTTTTACGTAAAGATGTCTCTTTTTAGTAATGACAAACGTATTTTTATTTAAAGGTCTTGTTTTTCTCAATATACCTTTAATAGTTTTTAAATTGTTTTATATCTGGTCAAGTTAAGATTTTATTATTACTTCAATTTTAAATAGCTTGCTTGCTTCACTTGTCAATCCCAGTTCCCTCTCCCTCCCATCCTCCTGTACCTCCCACCGTGCCCCCCAGCCTCCCACCCTATCCTTACTTCCTTCCACATAGGGGATATCCAGAGTCTGTCATTTCGCTCAGGGCAGGGTCCAGGCCCTCCCCTAAGAGTTCAGGCTGAGAGAGCATCCCTCTTTGTGTTATGGACACAGAAGTCTGTTTGTATGCCAGGGATAAACACTGATCTACTGCCCAGGGCCCTGTGGGTTGCCCAGTCCTCCTCACTGACTCTCAGCTGTCGGTCTGGGGTTCAAGAGCTCCCCCTTGTCCAGATCAGCTGTCTCTGCTGGTTTTGCCAGCCCATTCTTTGCCCATTTGCTCATCACTCCTCTCTGTCACTGGGTTCCAGGGGTTCAGTTCAGGGTTTAGCTGTGGGTATCTGCCTCTGCTTCCATCAGTCACTGGATGAAGGTTCTAGGATGGCATATAAGGTAGTCGTCAAGTTCATTATCAGAGATGGGCATTTAAGGAAGTCTCTCCACTATTGCTTAGCTTGCCAGTTGGTGTCATCCCTTTAGATCACTAGAGGTCTCACTGGTGTCAGATCTCTCTTCAAACCTATGACTCCCTCTATTATGGTATTTCTCAGCCTGTTCTCCCCTATTATACCCCCACTCAACCTTCCTGTTCCTCCATGACCTACTCTCTCCTCCTCTTCTCCCCCTCTCTTCTTCCCAGCTCCCACTGGTACATTTACACAATGAAGTACTACTCAGCAGAATAAAACAATGGAATCTTGAAACTCGCAGGCAAATGGATGGCACTAGAACATCCTGAGTGAGGTAACCCAGTCACAAAAAGACACACATGGTATGTACTAACTCATATATGGATTTCAGACATAGATCAGGGGAGTGCCAGTCTGCAATTCCACTGACAGAGAGTCTGGGAAACAGGAAAGAACCTAAGAGAGATATGCATGGTACTCCAGAGAAGAGGAATGAGGCAAGATCTCCTGAACAGATTGGGAACACGGTGGGGAGTGGGGGAAGTGGGAGCTGGCAAGTTGAGATTTTAAAGAACTTCGTTTTTAATTTGTAATAAAAGTTTACAACTTGATATTTTCAAAAAAAGTCAACAAACTGTAAGCACCTGTTAATAAAGGTCTTAAATAATAAACAAACAAACAAACAAACAATAGGGCAAGCAGGGACTGGAATCGGGAGAATGGGAGTTCAAACTGATGTCTCCAGGCTTTGCAGAGGGCTGTTGGATTGGGAGGCAACGATTTGCACTTGGTTGCAATCCATGGCACTGTTGTTTCTGTTGTCATATGGAGTGGCCTCACTATATAACAGGAGCACCCTAGTCCCCCACCTTAGGAGCCGATTCAGGATCTCCCTCTTGATCATCCTGGAATGTCTGTGGAGACTCATTATCTGCGTTGTATTCAGGCTGGGTCATGAATTGGTGGATGGAGAGTTCGTTCCTGGGTTTATGGAAATTATGGAGCACTCTGACCACTTTGATCTATACCAGGTGAACAAGAAAGAGGATGAGAAGACAGGGAAGTGAGAATTAGCAAGCAGAACAAGAAAAATGAGTGGTTTAAGGAAAGTAACAAAACCCCAACTATGAAACACAATGGCTCAACAACCCAAACCACCACACGCCTCAAATCTCAAGCACAAGGTGTGAGTGAGTGAGGCAGACAGGAGGGCATTTCAAAGGGTGCATTCAAAAAAGTAGCACAAAGCAAACAGCATTCCCAAACAATCCACTCTGAAAATGAAATCAAACCAAGAGACTCATTAGATCTTTTGATAGAGGCCAGCGTGTTGGAACTAGGTTACATTAACAGACAATCCACACAGGTGGGTTTCTGTGTTGAAGCCAAACCTTTTGTGAGTGTGGGATGGGAGAATTGCACACTGCGGCTTTGTTATCTGTTAAACCCCATCAAAGAGCCGACATTCACCAATCTGCACACAATAAACACTGGGTGACAAGTGACCGTGGGTACTGCACAGCCAGGCACACAAATCAATCTTCATTCCGCAGCATGCAGGAAATTAAGTCCCCAACTGTTCAGTCAGAAGACATGCACATGTTTGTACCCCCACAACCTCCACTGTGTCTCTTCCCCTCAAAAGCAGAGTTCCTCCTCTCCATACCCTCTTCTAGAAGACGCAGATAAAGCACAGGGTGTCAAAAGAAGCCTTGCCCTGCCTACGGAAGAAGGTTCAGGGTTCACCATTCAAGTGTACATCCATGTCTGATCCACAGCCATGTTGCCCAAACCCAACGTGTAAATTCATGCTGTTGCCCAGCCATGTGCATATTAGGCAGAGAATATGACCTTGTGTGAAGAAGCGATGACCAGGAGAGAAACTTGATCCAGGAAGCCGGTTACCAATGACTGACTTCTCTGACAGGACAGTTGAAAAGAATGAAGAAAGGAGACACTTTGCAGTGTCCCTGGGTAGACAAGCAAACACACTGCCCTGTCAGTCTTCATTTTACCACATAGAAGAAGGGACTCAAGCTGTCAGGAGCCCAGAGAAGACCAATTGCAATAAATCCCTGGGGAAGCTTTTGCTTAATCAGAGCATCAACTTGTTAGGATTTTTGTTGTTGTTGGGGGAAGTGGTCAGTCCTACTCTGGTTCAGATACAGTCTCCCTCATAAAAGAAACGAGGGGGATGCAGAAATTGTTAAGGTTGGGAGAAGGTTAAGTAGTAATGGGTGGTGGTTTAAGAGTCTCTTTTAGTCTTCTGCTGTTTAAATAAAAAATATATATCCCTGGAGAAGAAGCAAGAGTGTGGAGCACACACAGTTAGCCAAATAAACCAGCTGGGTTTTCTGTCCCAGGACTTCTCACCACTTTAAGATCCTGCAAAGACGTTGCCTATGGCAGCCTCACCATCAGAACTGTGGCTCTCTCTCCTCTATAGCCTACAGAGTCACCCATGACTGAGCGTTCAGAGCTTAGAAGGCAAGGGACTCTGCCACTCTACAGTCAGTTCAACACAGCAGCATACAGACGTGTAAAGGCGTCAGGGACCTGGTGGAGTGACAGTGAGGGCCACTTGCCACTTTCTATCCGCTGGCTAATTTCACCAGGCTGGTTGCCCTGCTCAGATCTGTGCGAGATGGGGCAGAGTGGAGCCTACCTCTAACTTCTGTGTGGTCCTAAGTTTTCTGTAATCTATACTTGAAATATATGAGAAAGACAAGTTAGGTTAAGCGAGCTTTAACTCAATACCCTCTCCCTTAGCCCTGGTATAAATAGTCTGACCAAGGGATAGGTCGAAAACTACCTCTCTTTGGTAGGTATTGTAGCAGTATTTTTATCTTCTATTGTCATCTTTACAGAGTCATATAGGAGGGCAGGGACCTTTATGCCTCTAGTTTATTATCCAGTGATTTTTAAATTTGTTGCTTCTAGGGTTTTTTCCTTTCATTTTTAAGCAACTGGACACTTCACTGCAACAATTTTATGTGAAGTCCATTATAAAAGGAGTTGATTTGTGAAAGTTAGGGTCAGAGGGTCTGAGCCTGTTTTATGACTTTTCCTTTCCCCTGTGGGGGCAATTAATAACACTCTTAAGGGTAAACAAATGAAGGAGATACAAGTGAAGAGGGATGAACAGCTGGGAAAAAAAGGAAACCTTTGGGGGAAGCAAAGAACAATCATTCAGTTAGAGTTCAGGACTTCTGGAGACCAGGGGAACCAGCTACCTGTAAGGGAGCTCAAGCTTGGAGTCAGGGCCCCTGGCCCAGGGGGTGAGGGAAAGGGTGAGCGATAGAGGCATGGGGCTATGCGGGAATGCTCGACTCCAACACTGACTCAGAGAACATGTGCTGACGGACAGCCACACGGTGTGTCACCACCTGATGCAGGGCTGGCATCTTCTGTGCCACAGGGTCTGAGGTGGGAACAAGGGAGGGCTATCGGAGCTTCGCACATCCCTCACTTATGCACCCGAAGCTTTCCTCTTCACATCATTTTTCAAAACCTCGGGGAAATGCTTCCCGGGGGGCTGACTGAGGGGTAATTCCTTCGTGAGGCAGAAGCCCAAAGTAGGCTGAAACACGGGTGAGTGTGGAGCATACTTTGGAGCTCAGAGCACGATTTCTCCATGGGAATACTGTACTCTTCTACTCCCTATTCATAGGCTAGGGGTAGAGAAGTCTAGGTCTTCCTTCTGGATGGAAGCCCGAGGGGCCTCAGGGAGATCTGATGCACAGCTGAAGTCATTTTAACTTCTCTGGAATGGGCAAGCTAGAGAAAGCAGGTGTGGTCTGTCTCCTTTGGTCTGAACTTTTGGGGGCTCAGGGCATGGGGTCTACCAGCTCCTCTGGACCCCTTGGTCTCTGTCTTCTGCCATCAAGTCTCTGGGGCAGCCAGCACTGGCCCTTTCTACCAGAGAAGTGAATGACTAAGCAGGAATGAATGTAGAGAGAAAAGAGATTAAGTGAGGAAATGTGGAAGGACCAGAGGGAGAGGTTTCTTTGTACTTTGCCTGCCTTTGGGCCTTGAAGAAACAGCAGATATCACTGGCACCTACACCCTTATTTCCAACTCAGACCTGGTCTTCTATGGGGAGCTAAAAGGCAAAAGGAAGCTCAAGCTTGGAAAACCTGCTTCACAGCCATGTGAACCACAGGCAATGCAACCTAGGGCTGGCTGTGGGGAGGGATGGACTTGGCACTCGAGTATCTAAAGTCCATAGGATGTGACAGTGGAGGACCTTCGCTCACCGTAGTGACTGCCTCCCTCTGCTCCCAATTCAGGGAAGGTACAGGACCAGAAAGAGGAAGGCATTAGCAAGCGGTCAACAATCTGGGGTGCTGGGGTGACACACACCACCACATGGGTCAGAGAAGTTACATTTCTCCTACATTGTGAATGAATTGGTTCTTGAACTACATACAGTTCTATTAGGTGAGACAATACAGGTTGAACTAACTTCCGCTCTCCAGTCTTGCTGCCAGCTAACAGTGCAGTGGTAGCCAAAAGGACTGCAATTATTGAACAAGTTCAGTATCATCTCCATCAGGACAGGTCCTGGTTTACCCGTGGGCAGCGGCTCCCTCACCCCTGGTAAAGAGACTTCCTAGGTCTTCAGGGGACTGACCTTTATCTAAAGAGGCGACTTTAGACTCAGGAGAGTTGGAGAGGCAAGACACAGCAAAGCAAAACAACTCAAGAAAATAAGCAGCAAGCAATACAGAGGGACAGTCAGAAAACAGGGCTTTAAAAGTTATTTTAAAATTGTCTTTAAGATAGTTATTAAGGTTAATAACTTTCCAACATTAAAAAAAATCAAATGAGCCCGGGTGTTGGTGGCACACGCCTTTAATCCCAGCACTCGGGAGGCAGAGGCAGGTGGGTCTCTGTGAGTTCGAGACCAGCCTGGTCCACAGAGTCGAGTTCCAAGACAGCCTCCAAAGCTACACAGAGAAACCCTGTCTCGAAAAACACAACGAAACAAAACAATCAAATGAAAGGTCATACAGCCTGGTTTTAACCAGGGTTGGGAAATTTTTTTTGTTTTGTTTTGGTTTTTTTTTTTTGTCTTTTCTTCCTTTAAGTCAAAAGCTCAAAGGGGAAAACAAATGTAAAGGATAAGTAACCACGGCTGGTTAAGGTAGATGCCACGTGCTCTCTTGTGGTCGCCTTAGCAAATCATGCATTGAACAGACTCTCACTCACTGCCCATAGGAGGAGCTGTAACGTAGGAAGGGGGAGATTTGACTGGTGCAACTGCAGTTATAGGAGCTAGGAACCAGGTTTACATCAAGGTGCTGGCTCATGTTCTGTAGCTTTAGGACTCCCTTAAAAGAGGATCCCGTCTGGAATGTGTTAGTTACTTCAATCTGCAAAGAATCAGAGCGTGTGTTAGTTACTTCAATCTGCAAAGAATCAGAGCGTGTGTTAGTTACTTCAATCTGCAAAGAATCAGAGCGTGTGTTAGTTACTTCAATCTGCAAAGAATCAGAGCGTGAGACAGCTTTGCTCCACAGGTAGAGAGGAGGGAGGAAGAGGAAGGCAGGATCAGGAGGGTGGGGGGCGGGGGATGGAAAGCAAGAGAGATTCCCTCAAACCCAGAGCAGCCGGTGAGGATGGGGTTGTGGAGGGCCTTAATTGCACATCAGACTTCATTTAAGGAACAATTTGCTATGGATTTTCAAACATCCAGCTACGATTCACTTTTGTTTCCTCTGTAGCCTACGATGGACATGTGTCGAAAGGCTTTTAAAATGTAAAGGAATGTCTCCCCACCACTAACAGCTAGGCAGTAAGTAGCTCATTCACCATTTGACCTGTACTCTTGAAGATGAGGCAGACAAACTGGCATACTGGAAGAAAAGTCTATATTAGTGAAATTTAAGGCTCAGGAGCCTCAAACCCAACTAAGTCAACCAGTTATTTTTACACAATTTCCAGGAAAACAACACCCGGGCGGCCATGGTGGAAGACTGCTAGACTGAGCTGCTTAGTTTGGATGAGGTGTTTGTCAAGAGTGGAGTTCAGGTGGCCTATTAGAATTCTACTCATTGCATTACGTAAGAACTGGAGACCTTCCCTGGCAGACCTGCTGACAAGAGGTCACCAGTTTCCTGAGAACTGGCACCCCAGTGGCTGGTGGCGCCTGGAAGCTACAACTCTCAAAGTCTTCCTGCCGACCAGAGCAGGTCTCTGGCTTTCAGCTTGCTCAACCTCAAGGACAGAGGCAATTAATAACATCAATTTCCCACTGTGACTGTGATCTGGGGTCTTAATCAATCTATTATCCTTTTCTTTGACCCCTAAGTCATAAGGAACAAATAGAAAGGGGATTGTTTATCCTTCTGAGATCCTTTGCGATTCCCCTTAGCAACGGCCCAGGAGGACAGGAAAGGCACTGTCTTTTTCCTGCCACTGACTCCCAGAAGATGAGGCTTAGGCCTCTTTTGTGTAGCAAGCCTCCAGGTAGGCCATACAACGCTTGGGGGAACCTCCAGGTAGAGACCAAGGTTAAAACACCACCCTTCTCTCATTTATGTGCTCTTCTGTTTCAGTGGACTGGGGGCTATGGCTGTAGGTGAGGGCTGCCCTTGGGAAGGTTGCAGCCCATGAAGACAGTAGAAGCTGTTACAAGGTCCAACTTCCACAATGACATTGCACTCCACATTACTGTTCTAAGAGTGCAGCCCTTTAATTCTTCAAATACTTGCTTTCTACTGCTTTTACCTCCCCTAAACTAAAGGGGGAAGGGAAAGGGAAGAACCGCCTAGAACCAGGAAAAGGGAAATTACAGCCACGACAATAAGGGTTTTGCTAGGACCCTGAGGCTGAGCAGTTGATGGGGTGGGAGGACTCAGACATGGAAGGTGCACTCAACACCGCCTTGGCACCACCAGTCAGGTGCCAATTACAATGGTACGGATGGATCTTGCCAATGGTGCTTTTTTGTTGTTGTTTGTTTTTTGTTTTTTGAGACAGGATTTCTCTGTAGCTTTGAAGCCCATCCTGGGACTCTACAGACCAGGCTGACCTCAACTCGTCAATTGCAGTCTTTAATAGGCTGCCTTTGGAGCCCAAGTTTAGGCTTTTGCTTCTCTGTCTTGGAGGTAGGATCTAGCTATATATAGCCCAGGCTGGCCTGCAACTAGGAACCCTCATCTTCCTGAGTGCTGAGAATATAGACATGTACCACCAAGCTTGATCTCCAGTTGAGGTTTTAAGGTCATTCTGACCCAGCTACCTTATGTTCTAGCAGGGAAAGAAGGATGTCTAAAGCTACATGTGCAGTGAGGTCAAACAGAGGAGTGTGGGAATGGACACTGGCAGTGTGGGGGGGGAAGGTCCATGAATCTCAGCTCCCCAGAGGAAGACTGACGAGGAGCTAGGAGGCTCTGGAAGGAGGGATCCTGGCTAGGGAAAAAATAAAACAATCACACAGTAGAAGAGGAGGTGGGTGATCCTAAAGGGAAGAAAAGCAAAGAGGTTGTTTGGAAAGAGCAGACCCAAAGGACAGCAGCGGGGGCTCTGGGGGAGGAGTCAAGGCGCTAAGATCTACAGTCACCCAAGGGGCTCAGTGGAAGGGGCGTGAGGCCGTCTGCAGGTCACAGGTTGATTCCCTTCCTGTCAGAGAGAGGAAAGGAGCCAGAGTTCCCCACCTGTGTCTTGCCCCCTTTTCTACCTGGCATGTTGCTCAGGGAAGAACGGGGTACACAGTTTTGAGTGTGCATTCATTTATCTTCCCTGCACACCAAAACAGGGGGGAGCGCAATTTTCTAAATCAGTGGAAGGCCAGTTTTTTGAAAATGAAATATTTGGGGATCTCTAGCCAAGGAGGAGGAGGAAAGAGGCCTTGCTCTGGAGAGTCCCCTCAAGATCTTGGAACTGATGGTTTGTTCAGGAATCTTGGGACTTAAACAGGAAAGGGTTGAGGGGTGGAGCAGAGGAAAAGCACTGTCAATGCTAAGGCTAGCCCACTCACCCAGAGGTAGTCATGCAAGGAAAGTGGAGAAAAAAAAGAGTTACTGTCAGGGCTACAAGCGGGGACTCACTGGTACTCCATGTCAGAAATCACAAGAAGGGAAAGGAGAAAGGACAGTCTCTTCCTCTTTAGGAAGCAAGTCTGAGCCTTTCCAAAGATAACAACTTAATCACCAGGTTTCCCAGAGAGGCCTTACATCAAACTAGGAAAATGTAGGCTGGTGAGTCTTTAACAAAGACCTCCCCAGATAACAGCTTTTATCACAACAGCTACAAGAAGGTCATACCAAGTGACTCAGGGAAGCCCACTATCATTCAATTTTATAAAAATAGGGTCTCTTTTCCTTCTTTGGGGCCAGGGAAGGACTACACAGTCCCTCTCGTGGGGTCAAGACTGGTGTTGGAACAGACCTCATGTGGGAAGACAGCTCCACTGACAGACTTGATGGGTGGGCTGTAGGGCCAACCACAGCTATGAATGAATAGTGACCCACAGTCCAGTCTGTTACCTCCCAGAGCAGTTCCACAGAGACCTCTGGCCTTACTGACCTTGAAGCTAAGGAGCAGTGAGCCTTAGGATGGGGGTAAGGGTGCTTGCTGGCTGCTGGGAATCGCCCCTTTCCTACCCCTTCCCAGGATGGGGAGATCTCTTCTCCCAGGGTAAGGACAAGTCACTACAGAGTACCTGAGTCTGAATCCGGTGCAGGCCACGGAACCAGAGGATCTGGCCTCTGCGCAGCTCCATCTCAGCAAGATCAATCTCTTCCATTCCCTCAGCATCCTTGGTGATCTCCTCCTCGTCAGCGCCATGTCCAACCTCCTTCAGGAACTTCAGAGACTCGGTAGGAATGGCAGAGATCACCTGAGAGCAGTCGCAGCAAAGAGGGCAACAGCCAAATTGGAGAAGAAGAGACATTAGCTGGCCTGGTCCAGGCCCTTTGCGGGCTCCTCTGCCTACGCCTTTCCCACCAGGACAGCACCAACAAGCACCAAACTGCCCAGAAGATTAACCAGTTGTTCTAACTGCCGGCTCTTAGGAAGGTGCTGGTGTTCACGGACACACAGAAGGGAAATCAATTCCCATCATCTCTCAGCATGGGCCTTCCTACACTCACTCTGTCTCGGTTTGGTTCTTCCTTCCCAGTGGGATCCTTGTCTTTTGAGACAACACAAACCACCGAGCTGGCACAGAGGGAGGACGTAGGGCTGGGGCAAACCACGCTGGGAGAAGGAGAAGAGCACTTGTACTTAGGGAGTTGAGGGCTGGGAAAGGAATAGGAAGACAATTAGCTAAGAGTTTCTTCTTCCTTAATCCCATCTTTAGCTTGTGAAGGGGCACTAAAGCGTTCTCAGCTGAGACTTGAGAGCTGCAAAGAATGGCCCAGGCCAGAATGGCATTATGGGAAGGATGAGACTCTTAGCTAAGCTGGCATTCTTGTAATCAATACTGACACCCACTAAGTACTTATAATAGGTACTGTCATATTTTTTGCTTAGTGACAATTAGTGATGACTCTGTTATCCTATGTTGAGGCCCCTGATAAATGGAGTGGTTAGGTAACTTGCCCATGGCTACTCAGCTTGTGAAAAGGAGAAGCGTGGTTCAGGCCCTTCCAGTAAATTCCAGAGGCTGTGCTGATCTACGTGTCACTCCCCCTCTGTTGCGCATGTGCAGTACTGATTTATCTTAGGTAGGAGCTGGGCATTCAACCAGAGAAAGCCATGGTGACACACCACACTGAAGAGGCAGGGAACCCTGAACTGCAGCATCGCAATAGCCCTGGTTAGACCGCTGCTACAGCAGAGTGACATCGACTCTGAACTCTTCAACCACTAATGCAAAATTTCTATTTCTGTTTCAAAAAAAAGCTAAGTTGAACATAACCCCCTGAAGTGAAGGCAGTGCCCCCCGCACCCCAAGACGGAAGGAGCCTGAAGCCCTGATGGAGGGAAGGGGACGGGAGGTAAGACGGAACGAGACACTGGTATCTGTAGCCACTTGTCCCTGTCATTGTGAGAGGAACGGTCTACAGCCTTGAGGATCTGCAGAGGGCACCCCACACTCACCTGGCCCCACAAAAGCTCTCCAATGCCTATGAAGAGACACCACAACCACTGCTCCAGGGTGAGGCTTGTACAGCTGAAGGGCTTACCCCCGAACTCCACGATGACAATCTGAAACAGAGCAAAGGGCAGCCCGCCATGATGGAAGCATCTCCAGAGTCGGCCTTCCACCCACCAGGACTGACAGGGTGGTCAATGCCACAGCGCCCCCTGCAGGGCCAGAGTGGGGCAAGTCCTGATTCTCTTGTGGAACAGAAGAAGACTCTAGAAGTGAAGAAAGGTGACAGACACAATCTTTATAGAGCACTTCAATGGGAATCATGCAGTCACTGTGACTATTGGGACGGTATTAATATGCAGCAGAGGAAGTTGGAGGCTTCCTGTGACTGAGGCCAAAAGGTGCCAGAGGGAAGGGACAGCAGAAGAGGAACAGAGCTAGGAATGGGGGTGGCGGATGGGGCTGGAGGGAGGGGCTCTGCTGAGAGGAAGCCAGCTTGTTTCTCAGATTTATTTTTAAAATCGTGTGTGCATGTGTGTGTCTGTGTGTATATCTGCACACGTGTCTGTGTGGGGGTCTCTACTCTCAGCCATGAGTCACAGAAGCCAGAAGAGCTGAGTTATGGGTGATGATGAGTCACATGATGTGGAGCTGGAATTCAAACATTGGTCTCTCTTACTGCTGAGCCACGTCTCCAGCTCCAGAAGATGGTCTTTTGTGCTGTGGCCTGCTTATAATCCTTTGTAGTCACATGCCTTGGTGACCCTCTGACTACAGCAAGGAGGGAGGAAGTCATCTTTCCACTCCCAGGCAACCGTGCTCTTGGCCCTAGCTCCTAGCAACAGGAGCTCAGCGCGTGCACCAATCCATCACTCTTCTCTGTGAGCTGTGCAACAGTCTCAAGCATAAGCCCCTTCAGAACTGAAGGGCAGGGATGGGGAAGGGCTTGGGGGTGAGGAGCCCGCACTACCCGTACACACACATTCCATGTGTGCTGGCATGGGAAGGAGACAGAAGCGAGTGGCCCTTTTCTTAGTCACTGTGTGAAAGTAGTCTACAAGTCGAAATTTGCAGGTAACATGCTACCTTGCCCTGGAGCACCTGACTGAGCCCAGTTCTAGAACAAGGTGCACATGGAAGCAAACCAGGAAACCCAAAGTGTTTACTCACAGCCTTGGTCCCCAGAACTCCCTCTCTCCTCATCCTGGCTCCCAGCTTCTGCCCTCCATCCCCCAGCCCTCCGACCCCAACTCCAGATAGAATCTCACCTGGCAGAAGAACGTGCCTAAAACCACAGAGCAGAAAATGGCGTTGTGGTAGATGCCTGCAAAGACGTTCTTCTCGCCGTGGATCTTCCGGCAGTTGATTTCGTTGAAGAGCTGCATCAGCACGAAGGTGTTGAAAACAATGGTATAGTGCTGGCTGGGCGGTGCATGGAGAGGCGCCTTCCTTCCGCTATCAATGTCAAACAGCTGCTCACCTGGTGGGGGCGGGGCCAGGATTAGAGGATGCCTGTGGCCTCAGTGAGGGTTCAGGCTGAGAGGAAACAGTTTGGGACAGCTATGCTGGTGGCTTGTGAACATTACAAAGTTCATTCTAATTGGTCAGCTTCTGAGTTACACTAGCTATTGATCATCTTAATTTAATTTTGGTTTTTTGAGACAGGGTTTCTCTGTGTAGCTTTGGAACCTGTCCTGGAACTCACTCTGTAAACCAGGCTGACCTCGAACTCACAGAGATCCACCTGCCAGGATTAAAGGCATGTGCCACCACCACCCAGCCAAACATTTTATTTTTAAAAATAAAACATTCAAAAATTACTTCAGGCATATGTATTTTACTTTATGTGTATGAGTGTTTTGTCTGTCTGTATGTCTGTATGCCATGTGTGTCTGGTGTTGCTGAAGGTCAGAAGTTGGCATCAGATCCCTTGGAACTGAATTTACAGACAGTTGTAAACCACCAACTCAGGCCGGTCCCGAGTCCTCTGCAAAAGCAACAACTGCTTTTAATTGCAGAACTCTTTCTCCAGGCCCCATTAATGAAATATCTTAAATGTTGCTTCTGGTCTCAACATATCTGGTCTTGTCTGTCAGTTGGCCCCACTGGTACTTAAATCCCTGTGGCTGCGCACTGTGGCCGTGTGCTGGGAATACACAGGCAGCACGTGTGGGGGAAGCTGCTATTACGTCAGTCGGTCCTTCACCGTCTCCCATACTGCATTCTTCTCTCAGCCATCCTCTGTCCCTAACAGATCTGGCACCCAACAGCCGCCCCTCTCCCCAAATTGTGGCTCACCAGCAAAGACAAGGACAAAGACGACTGTGAGCTGATACACTGCATGGCCCAAGATGTTCTTCATCATGGTACGTGAGATCAGGGGCTTGTTTCGCCCGTAGGGGTGACGCCTCAGCAGAGAATCGGTAGGGGGCTCTGTAGCCAGGGCCAGGGAAGCAAAAGTGTCCATGATCAGGTTAACCCACAACATCTGCACTGCTTTCAATGGAGAATCCTGTAGAAAAAGAACCAGGCCTTACAAGTTGCTCCAGAAAGCAAGCCTGCCTCACTCTCCAGCGCCACCACTCCCTTGAGGTGGCTCAGCTCCTGCTACCCACCAGACCTTGAATTTGGTTACCTAGGTACACAGGGACTTTGACATATTTATATAACTCCAGGCTCATCTCTATAAGGAGAAAATAACCTCTGCCTAGCAAGCTTGCTTCATAAAGACAAAGATAACCCACGTAAGTACACTTCACTTCCTCAAGGCCCCTATGGTTAGCTAGTGGCAAGCTCCATTCTCTGACCTTCCGACAGGCTTTACTTGTATATGCAAGACATCACCACATAAAAATGTTAAATTAATAAACCACTACAGTGGAGTCTGTAAACCTGGTATAGCTAACTGTCCAAGTAGGGTTGGGAATGGGATACACCTGTCCTTAACTCCTGAGGAGGTATACTATACCCCCTACCCCCACTCCTCAGTCCTTAAGTCATCTTGGCCATGCAAGCCCGGCCCAACCTGAGTGATGCAGGCTCCAGTGAAAGCCACTATGACAGCTACCACATTGACGGTGAGCTGGAACTGCAGGAACTTGGAAATGCTGTCGTACACGTTCCGTCCCCACATCACTGCCTTCACAATGCTGGTGAAGTTGTCATCGGTCAGGATGATGTCTGATGCCTCCTTTGCCACGTCTGTGCCTGCAATACCCTGAGGAGGGAGAGGAAGGCAGACAGTGAGCCGCTAATAGAGTCTAATAACTCTGACCTCCAAGAAGCCGCAGAACCAGGCATAGGCACTAGAGGGCACTATAGCCACAGCAGGAAACAAAGGGGCTCCACTGCCCTGCTGCTCTAAGGAAAGAGAATCCCTCAAGCGATCAAGAGAAGGACTGCCATCTCCTAGTCCTTCTCAGAGCCTCTCGCCAGCACCCATGAGAGGTGTGTGCACACGGAGCTGAGCATGCTTCACCACCTGTGCTCTTTGTTCTGAGGAGACCCTGGTTTGAAAAGGCCACACAATTCACAGAGAAGTGATGGGTTGATGCCTGCGTGTTGGAAGTGGTAAGCCTGGCTGGGCTCCCACTGTGGCCACTGGGTCCATGGCTGCTTGGTGGATGAAGAGAGACTATTACACACCTGGAGTCTGACATAATTGACTGACTGCTGCCCCAGATGAGGAATTAGGCATCTTTTAACAGTCCTCTCTCTCATCCTACTACTCCCTCAGTCTTAGCATTGAAAGTGAAGGGGCAAGTACTATGTGTCCTATCTCCAAATTCCTACATTTCTTTCAACACAAGCAGGACTGAAGTCCATGTCTCCCCCAGCACCTAGTTGAAACTGTGCAGTTTGTTCTAGGAAAAGCGGTCTCATAGCATACAGTGTTCTGTCCTTGTTCAAAACCTTGTCTCTGGGGACCTATGAAGGGCTTCTGAATAGATATGTCAATGGCTGGAAACTTTCTAGGAGGACAGTCCATGTCTTCACAGTGACCCTGGATTCACGTTCCAACTTGCTCTTGGGCAAGCTTTCAGATCAAGCCTTACTGGCTTATGAAAAGTCCCCTGAATCACTCATTCCCTTTTAGAGTCTGGGCTTTTATTTCCATCGTTTCTCTAAGCCTGAAACATCCTCCTTCACTGTACATTTGAATCCTATTGATCTTTATTATCCAATTCAATTAAATCCTAACATCCCAGCATATACATTACTGCTGTGCCTGGTTTTCCTCCTCATCCTCTTCTTCTTTGAGACAGGGTCTCATGCAATCTAGGCTAGTCTCAAATTTACCAGGTGGCCAAGGCTGGCCTCAGATTCCTGGTTTTCCTGTCTCTGCTTCCCAAGCTCTGGTGCACATTATCAATCTGCACTCCTTTCACACATCCTGCAACTCCTAATCCACAGGAGCTTATTCTTTTTTAAAAAGCTTTTAATTTTTATTTCCGTGTCTCTTCTCTGCGTGTATGTGCCCATGTATGCAGGTACCTGCAGAAGCCAGAGGAGGGCGCTGGGTTTCCTGGAGCAGAAGTTACAGGTGGTTGTGAGCCACCCAACGTGGGTGCTGGAAACTGAACTCAGGTCCTTTGCAAGAGCAGCAACTGCTCTTAACTGCTGAGCCACCTCTCTAGCCCCAAGAACTCATTCTGTATTTTGGTGTGTACTAGATCATTCTGATTATCCGCTAATATTATTTTACCAACTAGATTATAGCAAATGAAGACTGTCTAGATAAGAGCACATAACTCAGTTTTTTGATGGGACCCATAAATGGGAGCCCATTCCGTCTTGCCACGAGTTCAGAGAGCTCAAATCACTCCTATTGTCCTTAAGACATTAGCTTAATGGCTGCAGGATGTCATGGCCTTGGTAGGAACCTCTCCTATCTGAGAAACAATAGACTTGGGCCCTGGTGAGTTACTCTCACCCTGAAGGCTGGGTGGTACATGCTATGAAGTACCTGAAGGATTAAGGGAAGTAATGACTCCTTGTGCCTTATATATGATAATAGAAGTCTTCTGCTTTTTGTCCTTACTGTTGGTTGAATACATAAGGTGGTGTATGAATAACCTGAGGTGCATTCAGTATGGATTGAATCTGCCCTCCTGACCACTATCCTGTGTCTCTGACTCTTAACTCTCTTAGCTAGCCTTTCCCTCATCCACACTCCCCCACTCAGGAACAGACCAGGGCTGCTCGGCTGGTTCCAACCACAGCCCCAAAAACACAGCTCGACAGTTTTTCTATCAAAAAGTTCTACAGTGCAGGGCATGGTAGTACGCCTATAATCCTAAAGCAGGAAGATGCACAGTTTGAGATTAGCTAGACGATCCTGCCCCTTCCCGTCAATCCTCAACACAGTTACTTGCTGCCATCTGGTGCACTGTGAAAAGAAACAGGGAGAATAGTACGTTTGCATCCACTCACTACTGTGAAATAATCTTCAGGCTTCACTGCTAACTGAGGAGAAGAAAGGTGGGAAAGAACATACGGATGCTACCACTTATCTAGGGGGATGGAGTAGGAATATATTGTAGTTAAAAGAGATTTATTTTTATTTTGTGTGTATGGGTACTTTGCCTGCATGTCTGTGCACCACAGGCATGCCCGGTGCCTGTGAAAACCAGAAGAGAGCACCGAATCCCTGGAACTGGAGTTACAGATGTCTGTGAGCTGTCATGTAGGTGCTGGAACCCAAATCAGGTCTTCCAGACAGGCAGCCAGTGCTCTTAACTGCTAAGCCATAATTTTTGTTGTTGTTTGTTTTGGTTGGTTGGTTTTTCGAGACAGCATTTTACTATGTAGCCCTGGCTGTTCTAGAACTCACTATGTAGACCAGGCTGGCCTTGAACTTGCAGAGATCTGTCTGCCTTTGCTTCCCAAGTGCTGGGATTAAAGGTGTACACCATCACTGCCTGGCTTATTTGATTGTATTTAAAAGAAGCAAAAGAAGATCAATACAAAACTTAAGATCAAATGTTTTCTGAGGACCATGTTTTCACAGGGCCATGAGCCTGTTTTGTGTACTTCTTTTACAACAAACTATTTTGTGCAATTAGAACATATAATTCAATCAGAAGTCATTCTCTAAAATGGAAAACGCTTGACATAATGAACTTCTCAGAAACAAAAGTGGCTCCAATGAGTTTTCAGTAATTCGTGTTACTTTTTTTAGGATTCACTTATTTGTGTATTTTATGTATATGAGTGTTGTCTTCTCTTCATGCACGCCAAAGAGGGAATCAAATCCCCTTATTGATGGTTGTGAGTTGTCATGTGATTGTTGGGAACTGAACTCAAGGATGTCTGGGAGAGCAGCCAGTGCTCTTAACCACTGAGCCAACTCTCTACCCCCTTTGGGGGGAATTTTTTGAAACAGGGTTTCTCTGTGTAGCCCTGGCTGTCCTGGAACTCACTCTGTAGCTCGGGCTGGCCTTGAACTCAAGACAAGCATATGTATGTGTATGTGTATGTCTATGTATATAGGCTGGAAAGATTGGTCAGAGATTAATAACACAGGCTGCTCTTCCAGAGGACCAAAGTTCTATTCCCAGCACCCACACGGTGACTCACAACTGCCTGTCACTCTACTTGCAGGGGATCTGATGTCCTCTCCCAGTCTGTGGAGGCACCACACATATGCTCAGTGCACAGACATAAATGCAGGTGAGACGCTCATGCATATAAAATGAAATAATTTAATTTTTAACTAAAAAGTAGGGGTCAAAGCAGGCAATGGTAGGGCACACCTTTAATCCCAGCATTCGGGAGGCAGAGGCAGGTAAATCTCTGTGAGTTCAAGGCCAGCCTGGTCTACAGAGTGAGTTCTAGGACTTCGAGGGCTACAAGAGAAACCCTGTCTCGAAAAACAAAACAAAAAAAATGATGAAAGAATATTTTTAGTAATTATTTTTATTGTTATTTTATAACCACTACATATGTTTTAGAGCAAGTCAATAATTATGTTAATAGCATTAAAAAGTTTTTATCTTAAGAACTACAAATATTAAATTAGGGAAGCTAGGAACAAAGTAGAGAATAAGAAATAAACAGGAGGTTAGCATTTTAAATTTGAGTGAGAAACATGAACACGAATTTAGGAAGTATTTAATCTTAGAAGCAGGTATAGAAACAAATCTAGGCTGTGAAGCTCACATGTTAGCTTGGCTACAGAAACAGTGTGTGCTCAGAGGGAATATGCCCCTCATGAACCACTCGTGCTCCCTAATACAGCCTGTCACCAAAATGCAGCAGAGCACACTGAAGGCATGCACGATGCCAGACCTAAGAATAGGTTCAGATGGGCAGTGGTGGCGCACGCCTGTAATGCCAGTGCTCGGGAGGCAGAGGCAGGTGGATCTCTGTGAGTCTGAGACCAGCCTGGCCTTCGGAGTGAGTTCCAGACAGGCTCCAAAGCTACAGAGAAACCCTGTCTTGAAAAACAGAATGTAACACGCCACTCATCCCCCCACTCCCGCCACACCCACCAAAGAAACAAAACTAATAAATGAGAACTCCCAATCTCTCTGCAGTGTCTTACTGGGCAAGAAACCAAGAAAGCAATAAAAGACACCTAGGGTTGGCTACATTAAAAGGACCCAGAGACACTGAAGAAGAGACTTCTCCTGGCTAGTGATGAATCCATTTGAGCTTCAAGACAAAAGCAAGAGCAATGCATTGAAACACATCATATCTATCTATCTATCTATCTATCTATCTATCTATCTATCTATCTATATCTATCTCAAATTCCCTTGTTTGGGCTGAGGTGTACCTCAGTGGTAGAGCATTTGTCTGATATGCTTGAGGCCATAGGTTTAATCCCAGTATGGGGGAGGGAGGCAAATCTTGTGTTTGTAACACTACTTAAAAAAAATAAAGTAAGTCACTGGGCAGGAAAGGAAAAGAATCAAGCATTTAACCTGCTTTTCATGTGGGGACTGCGTCACTGAGTACAAACAGAGGTGAGGGGAAATCTCCTTTTGTGCAACAATCCAAGTTAATAATAAAAAATTCAGCATACTGTCATTTCACAATCCCCAAGGAGACATACGATCTGGTTGCTTCTAGAACTAATGTATAGAAAATACAAGGGACAAAGCAGGCATAGTGGTGTATACTTGTGACTCCAGCCCTCAGGAGGTTGAGGCAGGAGGGCTGCTTCAAGCATGAGGATAGCCTGGGCTACAGACTGAGGGGAAGGCCAGTGCATATCTCAAAACCCAAATGAGGCAGAAAAACAAAACAAAAACAAACAGAAAGCTAAAAACTAAACCAGATGTGGCGGGGCAGGACACCTTACCCCAGAACCTGAGACAGAGGCAGTTCTATGTAGCCAGTTCCAGGTCAATCGGGGTACATAGTAGGACCCCATCTCACAAGAAGCACTTGTCATGCAGATCTGATGACTTGAGTTTGATCCTAGGGTCCCATAGTGGAAGACAACCCACTTTCCCACTTTCAAAAATTGTTCTCTGACCTCCACACTCATACCCTGGTGGGTACACACACACACACACACACACACACACAGACACAGACACACACACACAGACACAGACACACACAGACACACACACAGACACAGACACACACAGACACAGACACACACACACAGACACAGACACACACACACAGACACACACACACAGACACACACACACACAGACACAGGTGGGGGTGATGCAGACAAAAACAAAAACACAAAACCCCACTCAAACCAAATGCAAGGGACCAACAATAACACTGTTGCAGGAAACTACAGAAATGCAGTGAGCACATTCGCTACTGGAACTGCCTGTGCAAACAATAAACCCAATTCCGTCAACATAAAACAGCTAGGGCAAAGGTGGAAAAGGACTGGGCGGAACCTCAGCACGGTGGCCCTCAGACCACCATCCTTAGAAAGGCTCACTTGCAAGGCTGGCTCCTGGGAACTTGGCTCTCAGAACACCCTGGTCAGCACTTAACTGAGACAAGGCAGCTCACTCACACACGGTGGGTGTGTCCAACCTTTTGACATGTGACAACACTGTCATCTATGAAGTTTACACTTAAAAAGGGTGCGATGGAGTTACAACAACAAACGACGACCATCACCGCCCCCACCCAGCGCCCCAAACATGGATGTGGGCATGTTTTACAGTTTTCTGCTGGGCCTCATTCATAGCTATCCTCGGCTGCATGTAGCCACTGACTGCAGGTTGGACACACCTGGCAGACTGCTGAAATAATCTGGCTTCCACTTCCCTTTACGAGTCTGGGATTTTGATTTGTGTTAGGAAGTACCCAGAAGGCCAATATTAATAAAAGCTGTGGGAGCTGAGTGTGATGGGTCTCCCTGTTGGAGGCATCATATACGCTGCCAAAGTGTTACAAAAATGGAAGAAAGGACTCCCCTTTTGGCAGGGAGAGCACAAGAAGGCTGCATGTGGATTCCTCTGGATTCTGCAGCATCTTTCTCTTGTGATCTAACTGTATCCTCAGCTTCTATCTGTAACAAATACTAGCCATGTGCACACAGAGTACATGGGTCAGGTTCCATGAGTCCTAATAAATTTGCGACTGTAAGGGTAGCCATTAGGACACAGGCTATAAAATCAGTGGTTCTCAAACATTAGGGCATATTAGAACCCCCAACTCCAGACCATGTGGTTCAGTAGGCTCCAATGGTTTCTGAGAGTTTGCATTTCCATAGGTTTCCAGGTAACTGCTGGTGCATTGGAAATTGGGTGGATACAGTTTTTTTTTTAAATTCATTTTATGTGTATGGTTGTTTTGCCTGCCAGAGAGGGAGTCAGATCCCCTGGGACTGGAGTAACAGATGGTTGTGAATTGCTTTGTGGGTACTGGGAATTGAACCTTCATCCTGTTAGAGCAGACCGTGCTCTTGGCCACTGAACTGCCTCTCTGGGTCCAGATAGTACCCACTTTAAGAGCCACTGCTGTGGATTCAGAGCCTCCACGGATGCCTCAGACAGCCATGATGTGCGGATCCTGTTTGGATTCTGGCTTCAACAGATAAGCCATAAAACCATTTATGAGTCAGTGAGGGAGTTTTAAACACTGACTAGAATTTGGGAATAGGAAGGAACTTCAGGTTTTAAAAGTGAGAAATTCTATTATAATTATTTATGTCTATTTTATTGATATGTATTGTTTAGATATATATTCAAAATTTGATGAATATAAATGATAAAATGTCTTAGACTGACTATAAAATAATTTGGCTGGATAGAGGAAGATGTAGATGGCTTATGAAGCAAGATGGGCCAGGCTGATAATTATTGAAGTAGAGTGACAGGCCTATGGGGATCCATTATATGATGCTAACTTCCTAGGCATGCTTTTAAAGCTTCTTAGAATTAAAACTTTTTTTTAGAGCCCCCTAGGGACTAGAGAAATGGCTCGGTGGTTAAAAGCACACACTGCCCTTCGAGAGGACTAGAGTTTGAGTTCCAGCACCCATGTTGGGTGGCTCACAACTGTCTCTGGCCTTCATGGGCATCAACATACTTGCGCATATGCTCACACACAGACACACACACACATGCACGAAATTACAAAAAAGGAGCTCCACAAAGATAGGCTGCTATTTTCTTTCTTTTTGGGACAGAGCCTTACTATGTATACAAGCTGGTCTGGAACTGCCTATATAGACCAGACTGGTCTTGAGCCTGAGGTCAATGCCCCAAATGTTGAGATTATAGGTGTGCATCTCCAAATCTGGCTAATATGACACACACACACACGCACACACACACACCACACATCTTCCTGTCTAGATCCCTAATAAATGAGAACTCCCAATCCCTCTGCAGTGTCTTATTGGGCAAGAAACAAAACTAATAAATGAGGACTCCCAATCTCTCTGCAGTGTCTTATTGGGCAAGAAACCAAGAAAGCAATACAAGACACCTGGGGTTGGCTACATTGAAAGGACCCAAAGACACTGAAGAGACTTCTCCAGGCTAATGATGAATTCATCTGAGCTTCAAGACAAAAGCAAGAGCAATGCATGGAAACACATCGTTCATTCGTATGTATGTATGTATGTATGTATGTATGTATGTATGCATGCATGCATGTATGTGTATCAAATTCCCTTGTTTGGGCTGAGGTGTACCTCAGTGGTAGAGCATTTGTCTGATATGCTTGAGGCCATAGGTTTAATCCCAGGATGGGGGAGGGAGGAAAATCATGTGTTTGTAACACTACTTAAAAAAAAATAAAACAAGTCACTGGGCAGGAAAGAAAAACACTCAAGCATTTAATCTGCTTTTCATGTGGGGACTGCGTCACTGAGTATAAACAGAGGTGAGGGTAAATCTCCTTTTGTGTAACAATCCAAGTTAGTAATAAAAAATCAGCATACTGTCATTTCACAATCCCCAAGGAGACATAGGACCTGGTTGCTTCTAGAACTAATGTACAGAAAATACAAGGGACAAAGCAGGCATAGTGGTATATACTTGTAACTCCAACCCTCAGGAGGCTGAGGCAGGAGGGCTGCTTTAAACATGAGGATAGCCTGGGCTACAGACTGAGGGGAAGGCCAGGGCATATCTCAAAACCCAAATGAGGCAGAAAAACAAACAGAAAGCCAAACACTAAACCAGATGTGGTGGGGCAGGACACCTTACACCAGAACTGAGACAGAGGCAGTTCTGTGTAGCCAGTACCAGGTCAATCAGGGTACATAGTAGGACCCCATGTCACAAGAAGCACTTGTCATGCATGCAGATCTGATGACTTGAGTTTGATCCTAGGATCCCTAGGATCCCATAGTGGAAAAAAAACACTTTCAAAAATTGTTCTCTGACCTTCACCACACTCATACCTTACACACACACACACACACACACACACACACACACACACACACACGCACGCACACACACGCACGCACACGCACACACGTGCATCTTCCTGTTTGGATGGGGATCTGAGAGCAATAAACTCCCTTGATGTGAGGATACACTTGGTACTCTGGGGACTTCCAAGCCTCCCTGCACATCTGAATTAACAGCTGTGCTTGCGGCGACCATCAAAACTCCATCACCACCACCAAAACCTCTAACCAAACCCAACCCCCACACACCTGAGCACCCACCCAACCTTACTGAAGCAAGATGCCCTTCTGGGATGTGTGACTTGTCAAGGAACTTGCCACAGGTTCTGATACTCATGGCCTCACATGTAAGAGCATGGTAACGGCCACGCCCTATGTGGAAGCCGAGTTTCCTGTGATTCACACAGGCAAACAGCATGACCACAGCTCTTGTTTTCCTGGACGAGGTGCTTTGTGATTTCCCCGACAGACACCACTGTTTTCACACACAGTAATGACCAGGCTGGTGGGATGAGAAGGCACAGGGACAGAAGCCTGTGCTGGCCCCTGACAGACAAGGTGACCCACGGGGAGACCCTGGGGAGCTTACCATGGCAAAACCAACATCTGCTTTCTTTAGAGCAGGTCCATCATTTGTCCCATCGCCGGTGACAGCCACCACCTGCCGCTGTTCCCCAACAGTGCTGTCAATGATACCTGGGGAAAAGACACACAACAGTGAACTCACAGGCGCCATCTGAGGATGTGGTGGTTTAAAGAAAATGGCCCCAAAGGTAGAGGCACCATGAGGAGGTGTGGCCTTGTTGGAGGAAGTGTGTCATTGTGGGGGAGGGCTTTGAGGTCTCCTGTGCTCAAGCTGCCCCCAGCATCAGAGACCACTTCCAGTTCCCTGCAAGATGTAGGACTCTCAGCTGCCTCTCCAGCACCACTCTGCCTGCCTGCCACCATGTCCCACTATAGAGATAATGGACTGAACCTCTGAACTGTAAGCCACCATAATTAAATGTTTTCCTTTGTAAGAGTTGACGTGGTCACGGTGTCTCTTCACAGCACTAAAAACCCTAAGACAGAGATCATGTGGCAAGTACCGTTTCCTATGAAAGGGACACTTTAGTCTCCCCCATCTCCTCCATTCTGTCTCTGTTCGTTCTCCTTCCTTTGTCCTCTCTACTGTGGGATCTACAGCAACCACCCAAGGGCAATGATTCACCAAGGTCACTCTGGCCTTACACAGCCGCTAGGTAGCTGGGAAAGCATGCAGTGGCTTTGAAGGCAGACATCTGGGTTCAAGTGTACCACTGCAGCCTAGCTAGGGACTAACACCCCCACCCCAGCTCTAGACAGCTGTGATAGCCTACCCCTTAACCCCGGTACTTGGTAAGCAAAGGCAGGAGGATTAGGAGTTCAGGGTCATCTTCAGCTATAGAGGGAATTTGAGGCCAATCTGGGTTACATGAAAACCTGTTTCAACAACTACCCCCACCCCTCCCCAAATGGTGGCTGTTGGGGAAATCACAAAGTACCTCACCCAGAGAAGAAAAGAGCTCTGTGGTCATGTTGTTTGCCTGTGTGAATCACAGGAAACAGAGTGTGCTCAGTGCTCTGCTCTTCACATGTGAGGCCATGAGTATCAGAACCTCTTGGCAAGTTCCTTTAAAAGTCACATATTCAAAAAAAAAAAGTCAACTATTCTAAAGCCAGTCATGGTGACACATGCCTTTAGTCCCAGCACTTGGGAGGTAGAGGCAGGTGGATCTCTGAATTTGAGGCCAGCCTGGTCTACGAAGTGAGTTCCAGTGGCTACGCAGAGAAACTGTCTCTAAAAAAACAAACAAAAATAACAAATAAATGGGGCATTTTGGTTCAGACAACAACAAAGAATCCCCCCAAACTCTACTAAAACTCCAAACCAAAAATCTCAACTCTATTATATCACACACTTGCCAGGGGTCAGATGTTTGCTAAATTCAGTGTCTTCCCCATTAGCCTGGGACCTCTCCGAGGACTTCCTTGCTGGGGACAGGAGAGTAGTTTGGCTAATGTCTCTTTTTGTTTGAGACAAGGTCCTACACAGCTCAGGCTGACTTCAAACTCACTATGCAGCCAAAAATGACCTTGAACTTTGGATCCTCCTGTCTTTACCTCCTAAATTCTAGGATTACAAGTGTATATCTCCAGGCCTAACTTTGCAATGGGTATACCTTTTCTGTTCTTTTGTTAGGGGGATAGGAGCAGTGTTGGGAATTGAACTCAGGGCCTTGTTCACACTAAGCAAGCTTTCTGCTACTGGCCATATACTCAGCATGGCCAAGGATGCCTCCTTATCTGTCTTTACCCTAGCCTGCCCTCATCCATGGCAGGTGCATACTCACAGGCTGGCCTCACCTTTCACCAGTGTGTGCTTGTCCGTGGGAGAAGATCGTGCCAGCACCCGAAGCTTGGGCCAGACCTTGTCCAGCTTTTCTTGTTCAACCTGCCAATACCAGAGGCACCCAAATCAGTCAAACTCAGGGCCACTGTTCGGTGAAATCTTACTCGTTTCCAAGAGTGCTAGAACTTCACAGCCCCAGAGGAACCCTTAGCCCCCGGCCTCTGGGGAGATGGAATAGACAATATGGCTTCACTGATGGTGACCATGCAGACCCTTTTTTCTTTTCCATCACAACTTCCTATCTGGGAGCCAGTCCTTATTTCTTAACCCAAAATAGGAGGAGGTCAGGGTTAACAGCTGGCTCAGGGGCTTCCAAGGAGCTTCTGGGGTCTTAGGTCTGATTTCCACGTAGACTTGGAAGCTTTAGTCCATCCCATATCATACTGCGACCAGCCTGTGACACCCACAGCCACAGGGCAGTGATTGTGGAAGGGTGGGATGGGGGAGGGGAGCAGCACAAAAACCATTGCATGCGTTTAAAAGCACAAGGACAGTGAAGTTAGTGACTCTGAACCCACAGGCAGCTGAATGAAGATGAGACAGGTCCTCATTCACCACGAGAGCAGCTGTGGTGGGAAGCGCTGTCTCACCGCGAACAGACTCCAGTTTAGAAGCCCCCCACTCGCTCCCACGAGCCCTACTACTGCACATGAGAACCAGCCGTTCCCTGTTAAGTGGTCCCCTGGCTGCTTCCTCTGTGGACATACCGCGCCCTTCTCATTGCGGATAAGCCTGTTGAATTCTTTTCCTTCTAAGCACAATAAGTTATCTCCAGGGGTCAGAATGCCACATTTGGTGGCAATGGCCCGTGCTGTGTTGACATTATCACCTGTCACCATTCTGACAGTAATGCCAGCCCGTTTGCATTTCCTAATTGCATCGGGTACCTGAGTAGAGTGAAGGAAGAAGACAAGTAGTCATGAGATTGATGATACACAGCAGACTGCCCTGCTGCAGCTCCCTCACTTAAAAATAGGACTGACGCGATGTCTGGTCATGTTTATACAGCACCCAGTGCCCTCTTGCTTCTGTCTAACCCACGATGGGGATGAAACTTCACTCATGATCTCACAGGCTGAAGGAGAATTTGCTTGGGGAGCCAGATGTGAATGCTTGTGTCTCCCTTTCCTTCAGGTTCCCTGCGGAAGCTGAGGCTGCATCCGGTGATGTGGCCACCCGGTCCAGGGTCCAACCCACGAGCTCGCTGTGTGGCGGGATACTCTCCCCATCTTGGCCTTGACAAGCACTGGTCTGTGTATCTGAGTCTTTCCGTTTTTTGAATCTCCTCGTGCCTCGAACAGCGTTCGGCACACTGAGATTGCTGAAGAGTACGTCATTGAAAGAAGGTGGCTAAAGAGTTAAGTTGCCTTCTGGTTAATTCTGCTCCCGACCATTCCCAAGCACCAAGTAACAAATCCATGAAATCATCACTGCCTGTCCCTCAGATAGCATGAACCCTAGGGATGCTGCCTTCTCCCTACCTAGCTCTCCACAGCTGAGGTGGGAAGCAGGTTTTGGAGACTCGTTTGTCTTTGTAAGTGACACACAGTTAGGCAACATGTCTAGGGTCACAGCCAGGCCAGAAACTTGCACTGGCTCTCTGTGACTCCCAGGTGGCTCCGTAGGTTACACTGGATATGTACCCTACCCAGTGGCCAATGGGAGACCAGTGCCCTGCGTCCTTGCCCCTTCTCTTCAGTTTCGAAGCTGACAAGCCTCACCTCTGGGCGCACAGGGTCCTCAATGCCCACCACCATAATGCAGGTCAGCTCAGTGAGGATTTCATTCTCATTGTCCCACATGGGCTCTGTGTCATCAAAATCCCGGTAAGCTATGCAGATAGTCCGGAGTCCTTCACTGGCCATGGGCTCAATGACGTTACGCACCATGTCATCTCGGTCCTCACTTTTGAATGGTATGGTTTCTCCCTCCTTGTCCAGGATTCGATTACACCTGGGCAGATGCATAGTCAGAAATCACTGTGCCATCCCACATGACACGTTCCAATAATCACAGGCATTATGGAGATCCTGTATTATTCCTACAGACACTAGTCCATGCTTAATACGTCTTTTATGTGTCACCTAGCTGAGTCTCTCTTTCCCTCTCCCCCACCTTCTACCTCCTACACGAGTAAGAGTCTCATGTAGCTCAGGCTATATGTAGCCTCAAACTTGCTTTATAGGTTGACCTTGAACTTCTGGACAAATCTCTCATCCTGGCTTTACTGGAACTTGCTATGCAGAACAGGCTGGCCTCCTGAGTGTTGGGATTAAAGAAGGTAAAACTATGCCCAGCTTCTTTTGGTTGCTGTTATTGTTTTGTTTTGTTTTGAGACAAAGTACACCAGAATGATCCTGAACTTATAACCCTCCTGTCTTAGCCTCCCAAGTGCCCTGCTGGCAATGTACTTGTTGGGTTGACTGTAACAACCTGTAGGTAGCTTAGCTACTTTTGAAGGTATTGAGAATGAGGAAGAGAGGGATCAGAGGAGCAGCATGGTTAGCTCTTGGTATGTGCAAGGCATCTTATGCTCACCGACTCCCTCTAGCACAGTCAGATGGGGAGCTTTCTGGGAAGTCTGGGCTGCTCCAGACTGAATCCTGGCTGTGGCAGTTAGTTACTGTCTCTATAAGCAAATTACACAAATTCACTGCGCAGATTTTCTCATCTGCAAAATGGGTCAAAAGAGTATCCACCTTGCTGAGTTTCAAGAATTAAATAAAAGGAACCAGCAAGGTTCTTAAAAGCAATGCCTGTCCTTAGTAAAAGCTCAAGCAAGTGTCACTACCTGGCTGGAGGGTCACTCGTCCTTCAGACTGGTTCGGCATGGGCCCTCAGACCTTCCTGAGGGGGACCTCAAAGGGGGAAATGGGAGGAAGGGAGCTCACTTGCGCAGCATTATCTCAGAGGCGCCTTTGCTGAACATGCGGAAGCCCCCTTCCGGCTTCCTGATGACGGTGCTCATGGACTTGCGCACTGAGTTGAAGGTGTACACTTTGAAGAGTGTCTCCTCGGGTATTTCGTTGCGAACTGCTTGGTAATCCTGCTTCAGATCTGTGACAAAGCCCAGCAGGGCACACTCTGTCTTGTTGCCTACCTGCCGGGGTAGGCCTCCCTCTTTTTCTGGAGGCTGAGAGAGAAAAGGAAAACAGAAACAAAAGCAGACATGGAACTAATGAGTGAGATATCTGAACCAGAGAGAGGAGTTGGGCAGGCAAATCTGGAGGCATCTCAATGCCCACGGGGCCACAGCAATGCTTTTGTGACCTTGACTGATGGCCTTATGGGTCTCGGGATCTTACAGTTGATTTATGGTAATGAGTTGTCTCATCCTCTGTGAGTTTTTCTTTTAAAGATTTATTTGTTTGTTTGTTTATTTATTATGAATACCGTGTTCTGCCTGCAGGCCAGAAGGTGCCAGATCTCATTAGGGATAGTTGTGAGCCACCATGTGGTTGCTGGGAACCAAACTCAGGATTTCTGGGAGAGCAGCCAGTGCTCTTAACCACTGAGCCATCTCTCCAGCCCTCCTTCCCCTTTTTGTGCAACAGTTCTGACTGTCCTGGAAGTCACTTTGTAGACCAGGCTGGCCTCAAACTCAGAGATCTGCCTGCCTCTGCCTCCTGAGTGCTAGGATTAAAGATGTGTGCCATCACCACCCAGCCCTCTGGAAGTCTTAATCAAATGCTCTCTGTTTCTGGAAAGTGAGTAATAAATTCTGGATACGTGTAAGTCTGCTGTAGGCATGAGGTTTCTTCTCGGAGTCACTGCCATAGGTTCACCCTGAGCACAGAATGTGGAATGGCAATTTAGATGGGGTGATAATGGAGGATGTGGTGGTTTGAGTGAAATTGGCCCCCAGAAGCTCATAGATTTGGATATTGGGTCCCAGTTGGCAGAACTACTTGGGAAGGATTACGAGGTAAGGCCTTATTGGAGGCGGTGTGTCATTAGGGGGTTTCAAACCCTGATGTCATCCCCAGTGTGCTCCCTGCCTCCTGCTTATGGACGGAGATGTGGGCTCTCAGCTACTGCTCCCACACTATGCCTGCCTGCCTGCCTGCCCCCATGTTCCCTGCCATGACAGTCATGGGCTCTAACCCTTTGAAACTATAAGCCCCAATAAATTCTTCTATAAGTCGCCTTGGTCATGGAGTCTAGCACAGACATAGAAAAGTAACCAGGACAGAGAGTTCTCTCTGGCAAAATGAATATTGCTCCCAGTCACCTATTCCAGGTCCCCAGGCAATGGGAAAGCTTACCAGAATCTTAGAAGTATAAGCACTGTTAATAGAAATGCCATTGACTATGAGGTCCAGAACCTTGGGCGGGAAGACATCAGGGCTTGGGATCTGGCGGTAATGAGTGTTCCCAACATAAGCTTGTACCACTGTCATGCGGTTCATAGTCAGTGTTCCTGTCTTATCAGAGCAAATGGCTGTGGCGTTGCCCATTGTCTCACAAGCATCCAAGTGCCGTACCAAGTTGTTGTCCTTCATCATTTTCTACAAAAGAAAGGAAAGGAGTTGAAAGAGAACCAACAGAACTTCCCAAAACATAGACCAGAGGCTAAGTCCTAGCCAACATTTCTCACTTTGTTTTCTAGTCTGCACAAAAATACAGGGTACTGTTTTTGTGGGCTTTAAGATTCTACTGATCTGTTTAAACAACTAACTGAGTGGTCATTTCCTAGAGCCAGGCACCAGTGCTCTTGGGGGACCACCCTAGGGGTATAAAGGACAGAAGAGCTTGTGGAACCCTCCCTTTGCATCTCTGTCCTTAAGTAACACACAGTATTTTTCCTATCTTACCTTCACAGAGTAGGCCAGTGAGATGGTGACAGCCAGTGGCAGCCCCTCTGGCACAGCCACTACCAATACAGTGATGCCAATGATGAAGAACTTGACAAAATACTGGATGTAGACGGGAGTGCACTCAGGTAGCCATGCTCTGCGCTGTACCACGAAATTGTCAACCACAAAGTAGAGAATCAAGATGACCACTGTGAGGGCAGACATGATCAGACCTGTCCAGGGCAGCAAGGCACATGAGCAGGGGTTAGCTTGCTATTCCCTTTCTGTAGTTTTTTAAACTTTCTTTTTATTTCTGTTTTTATGCCTTTCACATCATGCCTCCTGATCCCACCCATCCCCTACCCCTTCTCCAAATAAAATTTAAGAAAAAAAAAGGGAGAAAGGGGGCCGGGCGTTGGTGGCGCACGCCTTTAATCCCAGCACTCGGGAGGCAGAGGCATGCGGATCTCTGTGAGTTTGAGGCCAGGCTGGACCGACAGCCTCCAAAACAGAGAAACCCTGTCTCGTAAAACCAAAAAAAAAAAAAAAAAAAAAAAAAAAAAAGGGAGAAAGGGAAAAATCTCATCATGGAAGTTGCAGTGCGACATAGCAAGTCACACTGTAAACCCCTTTATCCATATATTTTTATATGTAGGAATTTATTGAAAAGAATCATTGGTCTGATTTGAGGTCCCTGCTACACCATCCACACTGGGCCCTCACTGGGATTCTTCCTGGATGTACTGTTGCTGGCTTGTGTCGTGGAGATCCTGCAGCCCTGGGTCCACAGGACCAACCCCCTCCCTCACCTGTGCTCCGGTAGATCACAGAAGGGATGGATGCTGGGGTGGTCAACACATAACCCGGCTCTGGGCCTGGGTAGTTGCAGGGTTGGTCAGCTGCCAGCTCTCCCTTGTCCTCACCATCAGGGTGAGCCCTCCTGCATTGCTCTGGCTACTTCACCCCTTGCAGCATGAGCAAGGGGCGGGGCCAGTTCTCCCTCTCACACCCTGAGGGTCAGCTCTCCCACACCTACACCTTCGGGCCAGCTGTGCTATGTTGTCTAGGCAGGGTGTAGGGCCACTCTGAGTGCTGCAGCTGGTGCTTTCCGTAGTTTTTAAAACGATAAGCTTTAGAAAGTTATATTAAAACCTTTCCCCCATTCTCTGTTGCTTGTACACACGACAGAGGTTGTGGTTTTTGTAGTTGTGATGGTGTGTGCGTGTATGTGTGTGTTTTAACAAAACAAAGGCTCTAAAAACAGTGGTTCCAAGGCTATAGATGTTGTTCTCAGCATGCTGCCAACCCTCAAACCCTTGGATTAGTTGTTAAGTCTCTATGAGTTGAGTTCCTACTTTAAATACTTCATTCACAAATACGAGGGTTGCTGGGTATGGTGGCACACGCCTTACTTTTAGCACTTGAGAGGTCGGGGTAGGAAGATCATGAGGTCAGGCCAATCTGATCTACAAAAACCAAACCAAACCATAAAGGGAAGTATGTTAGAATACGGGCTTCCTTGAGGCCCTTTCTCCTAATAAACTGCAACTTCTAAGGAGGGTGGGGGTCAGCTCCATGTGTGGACTGCTGCCGCTGTTTTATTAGAACTTCTGTTGTATTAACGAGGCAGTCGTGACTGCATGTCATAGCTTACCTAGTAGCAAGGGCATCTGTCCACTTAGGAGTTTACCAACTTTGACGTTCCCTCCACTGCTCTGTGAATGCCCCACACCCTGGTTACAGGATGTCCCCACAGTGCTGGCATGATTTCTCCTATCCTAGCACATCATGAAGATGACAAGGACAGCAACAACTTACACAGTGCCTGCCATAGGCCAGCCAGGCCTTCATAACCACTTTACAACAGCCCTAGGACACCGATTACTATTATTACTCCTGTTCCAAAGAAGGGAAAGCCAGGGGTCAGCAAACCTTCTGGTACAGGTAGTGTGGCCAGTCTGACTTGCCTGAGATTCAACAATTTCTGGGACTTTCAGAGAGAAAACTGGGAAAGTTTCAACCAATTGGGATAGCTGTTTACTTTACATATGGGGATCGTGGCTATCCTGAGGGTTAAGGATCAATATGTGCTCATTGGTGCATAGCATTTGGGAAACACTCTTGCTGAAGTCACAGTCTGGCCATGATGCTTCAGGGGCCTCGTAGCAAGGCCATGGGGGATGACATCAGTGAAAGCAGATTAGTTTTAGTTTGGCTTTGGTTTGATCAAGGCAAGGACCAGAATAAGGAAGCAAGGTACAAAATTTAGGGATGCTCCTCCTCCCTCCTC